TGACAGTCAGCCCAAACAGGTTGTTTTACTGATATACATGCATACAGTCTTCCTTTCTCCTTCCCCAGACAATTCTTCACTGTGATCCCTCTCTCATAGGTCCCATAGCCTCTATTTTATACCTTACTAATACATTTTTAAAGCTCTACATAAGTGGTCTAGAATGAGACAACAACAGAAACCCTTTCTTCAGACTGAAAAATATACCATCTCTCTTTTGGAGCCAGCAAGAATGACCCACATGCAGCCAGTAAAACATTCCTACTGCAGTGAGCAAGTCACATACTTTCTGCCTTACCTCTACCTGCACATCCTGGTAATTTAATACCAGAATCCGTTTCCCAGTGAAGCAGGACTTCGGTTACTGCAGTGACCGGGCATGTTCACTCCCAGTACTGTGTGTGCAATGCACAGCAGTTTCTACTATGTCATTTGCTTGTTCCCCTGGCACAAAAGCAGGCGTTCATTGGGCTGGGATTTCCCTGCCTTCTCAAACATCTACCACATCTTCCCCGAATGCACAGCTTGTTCCCATATCTGCTATGTTCTTCTCAGCAGTACTTTTCAGTTTCTAGCAGCCACTGCTCCAGGTTCTGCCCTCAGTTTCTCCACGCTCCTTACTGTGTTCTCTTGCTAACAGAAGATGGACGATTTCTCTGAGCAGACAAACTTTCAGCTATAGTAACAGCTGCGCTCTGGGTGCATTCAAGGACACTGGGAAACCAGACTCAAATTCTTCTCAGATACAACCTACCAGTCAGCTGTGTACCTGCCCTTATGAAATCTGGGCATTTCAATAAGGTAAGTCCTGCTTCCCTCGGATATGTAAGGCATGTTAGAATTTTGGGGCCTTAGCACAGCTTTAGCAAAGCACCTCTATGCAGATTTGCAGCACTGCCTATTGCTATCCAAAACAGAATCAGAAAATTCTGCTCAATTGTATAACTGTACATACCACTGAATCCACTAAAAATCTATGTTGCGAGGCCCACCAGTGTAGTGATGTGACTGAGTTTCCAAGGACAGACTCTCCCCCCTACCCCAAGACATTCTCATGGGCTGGATTCCTTCCACAGAAAGGTTTCTTACTGAGAAACTCGTAGGCATAGTTTGTGTTTACCTTCTCTTCTCGGCTGGTGTCCCTCAGGAATATCTGCTTCTGCCTGGAGATGGAAGCTGTCTTGTAGTAGTCCACCAGCTTGTTTAGTGAGTAGAATTTCTCTGTCCACAAGTAATAGTTACCCTTTGAATCCCTCATGACTTTGAAGTGTTGCACATCATCTTCATGCCTGGATCCGATTGGAAAAGTCAGAGATCATCAACAAGATTGCGCTTTTATATTTTTGAAAAAGTTTTTTCCAGAAGGGTACCAAAACTTCTTGCTTGGCCAAATCTAGACTTCTGGAAAGTACAGCAATAGCAGTCCTTGTGTGTACTGGACCTAGATGTGGCTCTGTATTTCAAAAATCTCATCATCTTACAAACATGGAGCACCACAGGGCTGCCCAGTCACAAAGCACTATCAGAACAGAGCATAGGTTTTAAAGCTTCTCCTTTGAAATAAAGGCCAGAGGAGCTTTCAGGGCCACAAACAGCTAACAGCTTTATTGCCTACTTTGTGTGGGAGACAAAGGTACAGTTGTAGCCTACCCACCAGCCTCTGCAGGTTCCCGTTAACATCCAGTCTGCATTGACGCCAAGAGATGTATTACACCTTTTCACACCATGGGCATCACCACTACATGCAGACATAGTCACTGAAGCCATGCACTGAGTTTTATAATTGTAGAATATCTAGTGTAATATCATTACTATCGGTCATTCTCCCTACCCAAAAGAAAAAGAAGGAATTATTGGTTGCTGTTACAAGCCAAATTAACAGTCTCAACCTTCTGCCCCTGCTTCTTCCCTGCAACTCTCCTCCCTTACCTCTTGTCTGATTTAGACAATTCCTCTTTGCACCAGATGCGATCTGCTTTTGGTACCCACCTCCTTGCTCTGTGCAACTCCAGGAACTCAAACCACTCATCTCAGAGGGTACATCTGCACAAATAAACTAAACGGGGACCAGGAAGGGACGGAGTGCTATCCTGGGGTGCTACAGTCACACAAGCTGGTAAAGTGTTAGTATTGTTTTGGTCTAACCCAAAAAGCCTTCCCCTAGATAGTGCTGGGCCATAGTCAGGGGGACAGAGTGGACCAGGAACTGCTTGTAGGGAGCTGCTTGAATAAAGCTGTTCTGTTCCGTGGGGTGAAGAGGGTTTAGCCTTATGGATCTGAGCTCTGCCACGTTGCTTGACCTCAAGGCCAGAGAAAGAGCCTGACTGTACTTAGTTTAGTGGTGTTTTTTGGTGCAGATGTAACCAGAATGTTTTCCTGCATTCCTCCCAGATGCTTTTTGAGCTCCTTGAATCAGAAAGTGCATGCTGCTTGGAAAAGACATTGCTAACTTTTACTGTAATTTAAAACTGGTTATCAACTGTTTGACTGAAAATTGGGAAACCAACCATCGCTTAAGAGCTCTGCGTTGAAGCAAACGCTCTGAGAAGGGCTGGGCTACAATAGGTTGCTGAAATGCAGCTGGGCTGAAAGCAGCTAAAAGCCATTCCTGTCCAATGGCTGTTTAGTGACCTGTGGGAAATAAGTTAACAATGTAATAGTCATCTCTTAATGGGTAGTAGTGGAATTCGTGGATTGAGTAACCAGAGCTGTCAGGGAATTAAAACAAATGGAAGGCATATGTTTTGCACTGTGGGAGATGTCCCACGTCCCACTCTGCTTTGCTGCAGCTCTTTCAGAGAAACAGGTCACCAGGGGATGCAGTTTTGGAACGGGGCATTCACTGTGTCGCTCGAACAGAGGCGGAAACATTTGGGAATCAGATGCCTAATTTGTTCTCATTCACAACACAGCGGCACTGCCAGAGACTGGCAGCATGCAAACTTCCCAAGAGGCTACGTCGCATTAGGAATCCTGTCAAGAGGAGGCTAGGGACACCATTAAACAGGAGAAGAAGCAGGAAAATGCTGTAAGAAGCAGATACCTGACAGAGATGGAGAAGTCACCTTGAGAGTTCTGACTGGCTCGGACGATGAAGGAGCCAACTCCTTTGCTCATGAGGATGTTCTCTGCTTCGTGGCGGGATATGCTCTCGTTAAACCAGCTGTCAAGTGGGAAAAATCATGGAGATGTGAATAAGGAATGTGAATTAAGGTGAGGAACAAAAACGTTGAGGGTAGGGAGAACATGAATAAGCAGGGTGGAGGAAAGACACAACAAAAGGATCAGAGGAGCCCACATGACTACTCCCAGTGGCCATGTACATGCTAAGGTACAGAGTTTTGATGGGTGCAGACCATTTTCTTCGAGCGGTAAAAGCATGTCGATGCAAAGAGAACAATGTAAGCTTTGGCCTGCGAAGACGCAACACTCAGCTGAAACTGTAATTACAGGCATAGTACAGTAAGGTGTTCGTCAAAGAAATTTTAAATTACAAATGTGTATGTATATATACACATACACACAATTCTCAGACATCTACATCAAATTGCTTTTGGTAAACTGATTGAAAGTTACTGGACTGTGATGGATATATTACAAGGGGGACACATAAATTTTTTGCAGAAGCAAGCCATGAAAGTTTTAGTACTAATAAATTGGTTCCTGCAAGAGTTATAATACCACAAAATCACAGAAACACAGAATACATAAGCACACTTATGTAAATTTAGCCAGGCATAACAAACAATAGTATAAGGCACTGGACTAATAATGAGAAAGCCACCATAAATATTAAAATAATACAGTGCCAACAGGAATTTTTCAGTAGAGAAACAAATCATCATGTACACTTATATATGTCCACTCTACAGCTAATAAGATCTACAATCTGCAGTCTTCTGCTTTTACGTAATGCTTAATTGCCTGAATTGCATGAAAATTAAGGACTGATAGTTTCATAACCTCTGTCATTTCCACTTTTGAGTTTCATTATACTTCTTATTATCATCACAGTTTACCTATGTATCATTAGCAAAGGGAAATCAGACTTTAATCAGCAATGATAACTGGTCTCAATGATTACTTGACAAGACAAAAATGGGGAAAAATGGCCCTTCAAAAATAGAAGGTAGAACTAGAAGCCTGAACTGCTTCAAAGTGTAGACCTGCTACTCTTAGAAAAGTGTCAAAGTGGAAATATTTCTTCATAGCTCTTGCATAGAGAAAGCACCATGAGAAAAATGTGTGTGAAAAAAGAAGCTGCTAGCATCCCTGCGTGATGCCACAGCCCTGTGAAAGAGCGAACAAGAACAACTGGCTGGGAAATCTCGTCTCCCTGAGGCCCAAAAGTACAAATCCATATTTGCACAGCAAACTCATAAGGTCCTTCAGCTCAGCCAAGCAGGCTGGCTTATGTCCAAAAAAGCCGGTTGGTGCCACCTCGAAAGGGGACAGCGGCACTTATTTGTACCCTCAAAAAGCCCTGTACGCTCCCGGTTTGCCTGCTCGGGGCACCAGTGTTACAGCGAGTGGTACTGAGCTTGGGGCATGTGCTGCCTGGTCGCTCCTGAAACGCTGCAGGACTTTTTGAAAAGAGGGCACTTAGAGGGGCTTCAGGGAGCACTTCTGCCAACTGAAAGGAAAAGGTTGTAAAAATGCCATGCATTGTCATATTTATGGCACAGGGCCAGACAGGACATTTAACATGCATTTAAACACCCGTCAGTCCTCTCTGAAAGTACAGTGCCATCTACTCAGTGGGAAGGGAAGAGATGAAGGTATGCCTGTCCTCTGACAGATCGGTGTTTGGGTGTGCAGTCACGAAACGTGGAGGAGGGTGGTGGGGTGTGTGTGTCTGCCTGTCTGTGGGAGCAGGGTGGCATGTCTGGTCTATCATCTCTGTCAACCCATGAGTAACACCAGCTGTCACCATTGAGGTAGCATTGCACTGACCTCTAGTGTGGTGAGAGAAAGTCACACATGCTTTGCGAGGAGGAGGGAAGGCGGATGGCAGGGTGGGGAAAAGGGAGTTAAAGGAGTTAAGAGTCAGGGGAAGAGGGAATTACATTTTTTTAGAATTCAGTTTCAGAGAGATCTTTTGCTCTTCCTTTTGTGCTCTGCCTCTGTCGCCAAGACTTCACATCATGACTATTCTCCTTCTGTCCGAGGACATCTAAATGCAGTTCCTGCCACATCCCAGTGACATCCCTCTGAGCAACAGTAACAAAGGAGTCACTTGGGAGTGATGGCAAGCATTGAGAACCATTCAGCTCTGAAAGCACAGAGGGTGCTTCAGGGTAGAAGTAAGGTACGCTGGCGGAACTGCATATAGCCTTATGGCAATCCTCGCCAGCCTTAAATTGTAGTATGTTATAACCAGGGCTTCCTCTGTCGTGTCGTGTCTTCCTTTGGGCATGCACACACACATGCTCTCGATAGCACTCTCTGGAACTGTGCGATGGTGGTGGACACAGTTTCCATGACACTTACGGAGGAACGTGAAAATCGATGAAGTTCTTAGGAACGTAGCCCTCTTGACTTCTGAGCTCAGCCTTATACCACTCTTCCTGGGAGCTCAACACCTGCAATGGAGAGATGGATGGAATAAGCGTTGTCTCCTGACAAAGGCAAAAGTAACCAAGATTCTGTCAGAAACCTAGAATTTCTTGTAAGCATAGAAGAGAACTCCACATACGCTCTACTTCCCACCCACTACATAGCGAGATTAGTGGCTGATGACCACTTCGGAGTAAAGCAATAAAAAAGGCAGAGTAGAATTAGAGGGATTGCTTGTTAACTTTATCTCTTCAACTGAATGCCTGTCCAGGTGGCTGGGGATACTATCTGCATATCTCTGATGTCTGTGAAATGGAGAAATTCAGCTCGGAAGGATTTAATAGGGGTTTAAGGAGTTCTCTGTGCTGCTTTTAATATAGTTGGTACTGGAGCATCTCAGTTTCACAAGAGAGGGAAAAAAAAAAATCTGTGAAAACCTCTCTGATATGTACGGGTATGGAGGGATATACAGCTGTGTCTCATTTCGCAAGAGATTATTTAGTGGGTTAAGTCTTCAGCTGCCCTGAGCTTTGCCAAAGCAGATAAAAGAAGGAGGCAAAAAGTACTTTAAAGCCGCTATTACACTTAAGAGATTGTAGGCTAGCAGGAAACCAGTCCACAGCGCACACTGGAGCCGCTTCAAGTGTGCTCACGTTAATGTTGACTGTAATGGTCCTTAGGGACCGCGCTGCTGACCGGGGACTGCCCAAATTCACTGCTCCCTGGCTGATGGCCCCTGATACAGCCCTAAGCTAGAAGAGAGAGGACAGGGAGACACCCATATCGTGATTTCACTGCAAATGTTGTGGGCTTTGGTGTTTTGTTTGACATTCCAACTCCTGGGACAGAATTCCGCTTTATGAAATGGAACGTGTTTCTGTTCTCTCTGGTTTTGGAGAGAAGCCTGAAAGCACGAGCCATGACAGCGTTCAAAGGAGAAAGCGAGTGGAAAAGACTTAATTTAAAATCTATTGTTAACAATAATAACATTTGTTTTGTAAGCGAATCTCGTGTTTTTGGGAGCCGAACGCACATTCTAACTGCTTGCTGTTGGCAACAGGATGTTACTGTCTCTGTGGCCAATTCTCCATTGCCTTGCCTGCCACGTAGGCTTTTTTTAATGCATTGGGATACAGCAAGGTTGGGGAATAGAAAGCTGTGGAGTTCCCTGCTTGTATAGTCACTGCTTCCCCCATCCCTGGGTGCCGGATTAAGGCTCTTTTTCGCTGCTGTGGCCAACCAAAGGGGATGATAGCTACCTCCTGCTCACGCTCAGGCCCTGCTCTGTTGGCAGCAAGATTTCCAGAAAGACCCACCTGCGAGCTCTCGGTGCAGGGCTGGCAGGTTTCTCTCAGTGTGTCATCCTCTCAAAGAAGGATGGGGAGGTGTGAGAGGGTGGATTTCCTCCTGTCACTGCTGGTTGAGGGCCTCAAGTTTCCTGTTTTCTAATCTCTACATCAATACTGTTCATTTTATCTCCTTTATAAATCAGAAAAGACAGCCAGCAGGTTGTGCAGGCAGCAGGAGGGGGCTCGTGATGGGGTATGAATGTATGTGTACGTATGCCAGAAGAGAGATGTCACTCAGGCTGATTTACTGTTACTATGACTTGGGTGGCTAAGGTGCTATTTTGTTTACATCAAGAACGTTAAAGCAAAAGGCAGTTGGGCTTTTCTGGTAGTGAAGACTCTGTGATAACTAATAATTACACCGATGTGTAGTGCTACTTGACACTTTTCATTAGTAGCTTCCAACGTACTTTGAAAGGAAGCTCTGGCTTATAATGACTTTACAGGAAGGGAAACTGAGGAACAGAAGGAAAAGTCATCTGGCCAACACCATCCCCACAGCCAGGGACTTGATGAAACCACAGCCTCTTGAGAGAGAAGATATCAGATAAAGATCACAGGACAGTATGGACGCGCGGACTACTTTTGACCTAAGGAAGAATTAGGAATGAGAGTGTTCATCTTTGTGGAAGAGAGGCAGTGATTTCTCCCGAACCTTCTCATATTATTAGCCCAGGACCTCTTAAACTCTTCCATTATGTGTGTAACAGACTGTCTCACGGACTTTTCTATTTGGAATTGCCTAAACCCCCCGTGGCAATTAACTTTCAGTGAAAAGTTAGATATAAGTTCTATAATGCATGATAACTATCTTTTAAACAGTTTAAGAGCCAGAAATAAGGAAGACAGCAATCTCTCATCCTGCCTGCCTTTAGACCTAGTCACCCTAAACATAGTCACCCTAGACTACCTATATAGTCAATGAAAACAGACAGGACCCTCAAAATGTGTCTACCGAAGAACTGGATCTCTGCCCCAGCAAAGGTACTTATCGTTCCCTGCTGACTACTGGAGGACTGTAGGGCAACTAAATCCATAGCTTATGGACCTAAAATCAAGTGAAGCGGACACAGACTCAATCGACCTGGGAACTGTTGGCTGACCTATAGCAAGCCTATGGGAGATAAGTATCCTGCATTTGTATCCCGATTTATAGACGTCTGTCTTCATCTGTTTTGTCAAGGCAAATGGGAGCATAGAAAGATCTGGCAGCACTTTCAGAAATGCTGTTTGGTCAAGCCTGGGACTGCACTTACCTTCAGCATATCCCCAGCCTGGAAGCTCAACTCATCCTCTCCAGAAGCACTGAAATCAAACTTGGCGATGGCTTCCATACTGTGTCTTGGTGGCAGAGCAAAGCTGGAAGAAGTACATAATTGTCAGCATCTATGAGCTGCTGGGATTGCTGAGTCTAGCCCACAGAAAACTTAGAGGCAATGCTGTGATTTGTACGTGGATGAGCGTGCACCAACCATTGGTAGACATTAGTTACTAGGCCATGGAAAGACATTAGCAGGTAGAAGAGGTGGCAGGGCCAAGAGGCTATAATTAGCTCAAGCCAGTAGTTCAAACAACCCAGTGTGTATGCTTATTCCAACAGATCTCTTTCTCTGCAGCAATCTCACGGAGAATTTTGCACACATCGCACAAATAAACTGGTAGCAGGGAAAAACCTTCTGTATAGGACAACCACTACTCTGCCACAGTTCCCAATAAAGCAAGTGACTCTGTAAATGCAGTAGAAGAATCCATGTGCCCTCTGCAGTGACTTACTCTTTATCTCAAGAGTGAGACAAATTGCAAACAAAATGAACAGCCTGCAATAAATATAATTTTTTCTTGGAAAGTGGCCACAATATTGAAGGTTGGAAGAGTCTTTTCTCTGTGATGGCTTAGCATGGGTGAGCACAACTTTGAGCTAGGAAAAATTGTTTGCAGAATGGCTGTATTCCCTGTTTTGGAGCAGGCGGAGAGTGAAACTGTAGCACTGACAAATTTAAGGCATGCACTTATCCTACCTCGGTGTTGGTAACCCAGGGGCCTGAAATGTACCAGGCAGCCTGCAAACCAAAGCCCGCTTTTCATCAGCGGAGCAGATGTGGCAGGGGAAGTAGCAACGTGAGCTTTGCTTCTGCACCACTTCCTGCTCATGTAACTCAGATGTACCCCAGCAGGACCACTTCTATAATCAAGACAGTTAACTCGTTTTGCATGGCGGGCTCACGGAACGTCCAGCCCAGTGGTGGGCTCTGGTCTGCCGGTCACTAGACCAGAAATAGCCAGGCAGTGCCACATTAAGCAAGTGCACTGCTGGTAGATGCTCTTGCAGCAGCCCAGCTTGTGAAGACCATCAGACAGCTCCAATATAGAAGTAATTTTTATGGTTACTAAGCCCGGTTCATCTGGGAGCAATGATCCTGAAGCCAAAGGTTCTGTTACCTAACCTCACCTCTCACAAAAACACCCAGACTTTATGGCTTGAGAAGAAGTGCCAACTCACCTGACCCAAAACGTTCTTAACCAGAAAGCCCTAGAAAGAAACTGTATGAACAACCCTAGTGAGGGGGCTATTTCTTTTCTCCTGTTAGAACTGAGCCAAGATCCCCAAAATATAAAGTGCCGATACTGAGCAAGCTCCAAAATGATGCCACTTTAAAATCAATACGCTCCTGTAACCCTCCTTCTCTGCAATACCTGCTGTAAGCTTCCTCCTTTGACAAACAACCCAAGGATTTAACTACCTGCGTACCAAGGATCCAGGGCCCAGCTCTGATTCAGTGCAACTTGACTCAAACTGCTGAGAATGAGCTGGCAGAAAGTCTGCAGGGCAAAAATTATATACAGAGGTAGGGCTGTTGATATGGCACCAGCAGTAGCCCTGGGATTCAAGAGGAAAACCACCAACATGGGAAGATATAAAATCTCAGAGGAAAACCAAAACCACAGGAGGTTGAATTGGGATAGTCAGTCTAGCTAGGGACCAGTCACAAATCATTGGGGTCACGGAGCTGAGTTGTCAGCGCCATCAGTCCTGACCCAGCTGGTGGCAGACGGCAACCACGGAGGGCAACGCTTCCCTCCCGATTGATGCCTGCCTCACCAGCCAAGACTCTTTGGGTGCCTTTACACAGGTGAGGGGTATGCTAATGCTTAGGCTAGTATGTCATTAAATCCTAGCTAGCTTCTGTGTCTGTTAACTGTATCAAGCAGTTACTTATTGGCTAAGTTGTCTATTTCCTGCTTGCAGAGTCCCTTTGCACTGAACTAAAGATGTCCAGATAAAGTGATCCACAAGAGGGGCTGTAACATCACTGGAGATTGGTTCTGAGATTTGGTACATCTCACTTCTAACTGTAAAAAGATCTTCACATGCTTCTTATTGGCTTCTGTCAGCACCCTCTTTTTTGTAGCTTATAAGTAAATTTGTACTTGTGTGACTGATGTGAGCTATGTGGCATCAAGGCAAAGTTTTTAGCAGCCCACAGACAGCTCTGCTCGTTCAGCGTGAGCCCGTCCTACAGCAAGTGGGGTTGTCCAGTGTCGGGGCCTCCCATGTAGGTTGGAGCACATAGCTCGGTTGTGATCTGCTATTCCAGCCCGCTGCCTTAGGGTTTTGCCAGTATACATCAATACTGAACTATAACACCCTCTGTTTTACCAATGTGTTTTATTCTCAGTCTTCAGCTTTCCAGCTATTCCAAACATTTTCACCTCCTTTACTCTCTGTCAACTTACTGATGCTCTCTAATTCTTACTTTGGATACCCTGTGCAGATTTGCAAATATAGCTTAGGTTCACCCTCTGATTGCCCCACTCTTATTCCAAGCGTTGGTGTAACCCTGCAGACGCAACTCAAGCCTGATCTGAGAACTGTCCTCTATGCTTGCGCTGGCGTTTTTGGATCTTCAGTCTATAACCTCCCACAGCCCGTGTGAGCCTCTTGTGTGCTAACAGAGCGTACGGGTATTAAATCGGAGGGGGCATTAACCATTGAGGGAACTAGTTAAACAATGATACGCATTCATGGAAGAGAGCTGAAGAAAAAGACTAAAGGAGAATTACTTTAATAAGGGATGTTTTTCAGTGTTTTATCTTGCAGCGGTGGGCTGCTGCAAAGAGATCAGAGCCAACAGTGCAGATGAATCCTGGAACTCCTAAATGCAGAGCATTAATCCTAGCTTGAGAAAAAAAAAACAAACCCACACTTAAAAACAATAAACTATTTAAATACAAATCCTGTCTTTGATTTCTGCCCCTTAGTCACAGAAGAGACAGTGGGGGTTCTCTCTGCAGGGGGGCAAGAGAGGAGAGCGCCTTTCATTATTCAATATCTGAAACATTAAAGATACTATTGGAGATGTGACCTCCTCAAAAGGAGAAGGTTTTGTGAAACAGTTAAAATCTCCTCTCTCACCTCCTTTTCAATTTCAGCAATCCCAACCTCGAGGAGAGACCAGGAGACAGATACCTCTTCAAACAATCTAATGCATGGATTAAATGTGCTTTTCATTGCCAGCGGCTGGATTTAGAAGTGACTCAAATACCATACACAGTGTTGGCTGTGTTGATAAATCAGCAATGCAGTAATGCTGTGGCCTTAAGCTCTTCCCCCACCAACTACTAAAGCAACACTAGCCCATAATCCTGTCTTTGAACTCCAGCCTACCACTTTTCATCACCTGAACTTCAAACCAGTTCTGGTTTTCTGATCCTGTTCCTCCCTCCATCTGTAGCTCGAGAATCCTCACTCCGCATGGGTCAGTGCCGGGCCCTCATGAAAACTCCCCTGCCAAGGGCCGGTTCTTTTCCTCTCTGCATGTGCGTGACTCCGAGCACCACCTCACGACACAGACGGACGGGAATTTTTTCATTATTGTCATAACTTGCATTTCTCAAGCACCTTTTATCCCAAAGGACAGCACTGCAGTTTGCAGACAGAGTGCCAGATTCTGTTTTTAACTGCCTGGTGCGACTCCTTTAAGCTTTCCAGTAACCAAGGACTATTTTAGACTGTGCATAATGTTCTGTGTGAAAATCACCTTTGTACAGAGTTTAGCATGAAGTCTATGCAATGTTCAAAGAAGGATTTTTCAGTTCGGAGTGCGAGTTGACCAGTACCCTCCATTTGTGCTGGCTCTCTGCATGGAGGTGAATTTTCTCTGTGGTTCCCCACTGTAACGACGTGGGTCCCAGGGGCATAAGGCTGCTGCAATTCTGTGCAATAAAAGGAGAAGCGAGAAGCAGCGTGGCTCTGAGAGCACTGGGTACGTATTTTCATTTGGCAAAATGCCATTCCCTGAGCGAGAACATCAGCGTCTCTATGTTGATGAGAAGAGCCAAGGCCTGTATCATGTCAGCAAGCAACATAGTCTGACAGCAGCATCCCAAAGAGTTTAACACCATTACCCTACACTAAGTTGGGTCAAAATTCAGTAACAACAATGCCAGGGAAGGTCACCACCTATGAAGAGTTTACCACCCAGGGACTGCACAGGCTCAGCCCTGCTCAATCTCGCGTATTAACATCACAGAAGGAGGGCATAGTTGCAACAATGTGCTCACTTAAAGGAGCCACACCAACAAAAGTTTTTATTTTTATGCCTGCAGCACGCACATCTCCAGCCTGCAGCTCCATCCAGTGAGGTTTTGCACCGCACGAGCTACCGTGTCTTTGTCTGGCTTTGCAAGAACAACCTATCGGACTGATGAGCAACCAGGGACAGAATTCAATCCCGAACATCTGTACAGAAACTCCAGATGACATTTCAGCTGAAACAATGGAGAGGGGACCCGTTATCTAGAAGAGCTGTGATAGATAAAAGCTGTGTTTTCACCAGCTAAGCCACATACAAGTGGCATGGGAATATTTCGTTCCAAAAACACAAACCTCTTGCTACAGAGTTAACGGTGCAGCTCCACTGACTGTCAGTGATAAGAGGGTAAAATTTATAAGGGAGAGCGAGTCACTAAAACACTCAGTGCTGCCGCATTTAAGTCTTGGCTATCCTGCCATCCAAAGCAATGCATAGCACTTGGGCTGAGCCTCTGTGTACAGACAAAATAAGCTTCCTAGGAACTGGATTCACAGAACAAACTAACTTGCAGGACTCCATAACCAACAGCAGTCGGTAAGAAATACCCCAGACTAGGATGGTGCTTAATCTCCCTGGGGAACCTGGGTCTTCTGTGCGACTTCCAGTCATGAGAGAGTCGAGCTATGCAGCACCATGGGAAGCCTGTGCAACAGCAGCCCCAAAGAGAGTAGCACAACACCGCACAATATTGTGACAGTATAAAATCATGAATCTTTCCTGTGCTGGAAGGGTTGGTGCGG